AACGTGTATCTTGACTTACGTTTCTTTAAAAATGATATGTTTAGTCCTAGTTTAACCATGTTTTTTTTAATTAATTATTGATTGTAGTTTAATGTACAGTACGGTTGTGATTACTTAATTCTTATCCGTTATATTTTGTCACTTAGTTGTTATAACTTAATGGTTATTTGTTCATTCTCATTGGTGATTTCTTGTTACTTGATAGTTTTTTCTTAATTCTTTTTTGCAACTTCCAGTGTGCATAATGATTGAACACATGAACATTACTACTATTTTTTCCTCTCATTGAGATAAAATTCAAAGGCAAAATACTTTCTTTTCTGAAACTACATGTAGCCTCCATCTTGTACGCCGCGTTTTTGGGGTTAAATAAACGTGTGATACCAAATGTAAAAAAAAAAAAAAACAAGAATTAACAATTAAGTCATAAGAACTAAGTCAAAACACCTAAGAAGTAAGTCAATGTCCTTCCAGGGCTTCCGTACTCCAGGGCTTCCGTAATTTCATAGCAGTTATATTTAATTGGAAAAAAGTCTAGATTTTTTTTTATTAATTCAGACATTTACAGGTTCTTTTTCAAATAATATTTTAGGTATCAAAGAATGTTTTTCCTTACTTTTTCTTACCGTCACGGTAGCTCAGTCGATAGAGCACTAGGTCCGTGATCGGAAGGTCGAGTATTCGAATCACGGCTGTGACATACCCAAATCGATAAAAAATGGGTAGCAACTGTTCCTTCGCCAAGCTCTCGCCACTTTGAAGTGAAAGTTGCGGGTCTTTCGGATGAGACCTTAAAAACCAAGGCCCCGTGTCACGGTAGGTGTTGGCAGGATAAAGATCCCTCACTGCTCAATGGCCCCGAGTGCCGAGTAAAGGTCTAAATTTGAAGCTCTTCACCGGCATAAGGTGACGTCTCTATATGACTGAAAAATTCTCGAATGGGACGTAAAACAACATACAATCAATCAATCAATCATTCCTTACTATTTCTATTAAATTATGTGTTTGCATGTTGACAAAACAAATTAAGTTAACTGATTGATACTGTACATGTGAAAAGAATCCGTTTTGTTATTGAAGATAAGCACCTGTTTCAACACCTAACATTGTCTTTTTTTTAGTCCCTGGATTTGTAAAAACAACTGGAGGGGGGGGGGAGTAAAATTATTATTATTGTGTATAAAGGATTGAAACTCTATCCAAGAAGAAATATTAATATCGTAACAGAGCAATTTCGATTGTGACTTGCAAAGAGATTGACGAATTAGTAACGGATTTGGAATATTAACTTTATGAGACCATTAATACGCCATTACCTAATGTTAGGTTATAAAGGGCTGCATTATTACATTTTCTTGTAAATCGTGTTACATTAAATCATTTCCCAAGTAAAAACACTTTTCCCCCTGTCTTACTTTATGTTACGATACATTTAGTGAATCTGTTACTTCGACTCATTTTTGACAGTATACCGTTATTTTGCGGAGTAGATATTGAGGATAAAGCACCATAAATTGTCTCTACGGCGGTTCTGGGACACCTGCAGTCCCAGACAATGCCTATCCGATCGAAAGGTAATAAACTAAGGAGTGAAGATGCCTTGATGTTTCCCATCCATCACCATGAATTCTTAAAAATCTGCGCTTTATCTCGCTCAAATGCAACAGTTAATACATGTGTTACCCAACAAAGAACGATATTATAGGGAATAAACAGGTATGCTGAGAAGTGATGCACCCCTATTATACTCTATCAGATGTTTTTAGTTTTTTTGTTTCTTTTTTTTATTTTTTTCATTTTTTTTTTTTTTTTTGCAAAACCAAAGAAATTTTTTTTTATTTAAAAAGTTACATATTGAGCTTAGCTAAAAACTCAATGCTCGTGTGCATGAATACATTCCATAAATTTGTCCTTTATCAAAACTAATTCTTTTAAAATTTATGGCTATCGTTTAACAAACATGAAGAAAAATGATAGAAAGAAACTCGCAACCATTTATTGAAATGTACGAATATATGCCATCAAAATGATGATATGTAAAACGACGATGTTGCAAAATATCTTTTTTAAGCTTGAATTGATAGCTTGAAATGATACGACAAATTGGATGTGGACTTCTGCGTCGTTCCTTCGGATTTTGATTTCCCAGAATAAGCCAGTCTATTACTTCCGCAAAACACTTCAGTGATAGACATAAAACTGTCTTCATTAATGTAAACGTTGTGTTTGGAAAATGATTTGAAACCCTCATTGCCCAAGTTTTTCAAAATGTCACTTAATCCAAGAGAATTCATTCCCTGTCGATCACAAATCTTATTTTGCTGTAAAAATTCGACAGTCTTCACATTAAAAAAGAGCCTCCTTGATTTACACTGTGACCATTAAAGGTTTTTACTTTCGATTTATAACCGTAAAACGTTTAACACCATCAGTGTCGACCTTCTTATTTAAGTGTGGTCCTAAAACACTAGAAAACAGCTTTCTAACAAGGAAACTCGTGGTAAAAACATGTACTATAAATTTTCGTAAAATACAATATGGATGGCTCGAGGGCACCTGTCAATGTCTACAGGCGATATAGTATATTTAGCAGGCTTAATGGAAGCCAAATATTAACAGAGAAATGTGTCAATTAGATCATTAAGACGCAGTTAGACTGTAGGATTTTTTTCTGTCATGGTGTGTGTCGTCGAGAAGAGAGCAATGGTCTTGGATAATGGATAGAGGCTACGCTAGCTAACACTATTAAAAAGGTTCCCAATCAGACAAGGAACCATAAAACACTGGTTAAGTGTACAACAAATTACGATAAATCAATGTTCATTTATTTTTTGTTTTAAGTTTCACATGTTGCATGTGATAAAAGAGACAAACCCTGATACTTTTGATCAGTATTTTAATTTTGTTGAAACAATAAAGCAAAAATTGACTATGAAGACAAAACTTCTTTCTCGATGATTTTAATAGCAAGGAGAGAAAGCAAGTTTTGGGGAACTGTAATTTCCAATTCAAAAAAAAAAAAAAAAAAAAAGACGGACTTTTTTGATCGTCCTTGAAATACTCAAACTTTAAATAATTCTTTAAAAAAAAAAAACAACCAGTCCTGTTACAAGAATACCAAGATCTTGTTTGTATCTAGTACTAATTTACATCTACATATTACTAGTAATTTTATGGTATTGTACAAAAGCCATAGTGCCAATCGATGTAGGTGCAAAATATCAAATCCATACCTCTTATAATTCAAGATAAAAGGTGTGACAGCAGACAGACGTAGGGTAGAGTGATCTCTAAATGTCGCTCTGCTCTTCAGGCGACTTAAAAATGTTCTAGTCTCAAAACTAATGACATTTTGAATTTAGATAGTGTAGTCTGAAAGCTTTTCATTTTCTTTTTTCGATATCTATAATTTTACTTTTTCAAAAACATATTTTGTTGTGTGGCTTTGTTTTTGATAGAAAAATGGCAAGAGTAACATTAAATTTTGTAATGTAACGTGAAAATACAGCTTTCAACAAACCTGTCTTTGCTTTTATTTCTTTCTTTATACGATTTTTTTAAGTCAATGATTTTTTATTACAAACATACCATATGTAATAAATATTGCCTTTCTTGGTAACTTTTTCCCTAACATTTTATCAATTTACTAAATCCACCCTCGGAGCAACTCTGCATGTCTATCCGTATGATCTAAACTGACGTAATAATTGTCTGAGAGAGATAGAGCTTTGGATTCTTTTAATTCACATGATATGTCAAATCCGACCTTTAATTTTGCCAATTAATTACGCTGATCGTTGTGAGCAATACCTGTCCAATTTTTGTCACTATCGACGTTCGGAGGCGTCTTTTATACCCTGTTTCTGGTAAGATAACATTCTTACAGAATTAGAACGGAACAATTTTATGATTTCCTGTGCTAGCTTGTACGGCCCCGTGTGATTACATTGATTGAGAAGGTTAACGCAAAAGCTGAAAGACTAACATTAGGATGAAGCTAATTATTTGCGCCAACATCGCGTTTGATCTCTTCGTAAATGATATATCAAGTTCAGATGTAGTCTTGTCAATAAATTTCTAGAATTACGATCACTTTAATGAATGATGTTTATACATTTTGTTTAAGATATGAAAATTTGTAAGACATCACTTTTTTCCCAATGCCATGATTCATGCATTGAGTCCTTTAGTATACAAAATAATACCGCTTAAAATTTTAATACATGTAATCGGTGCCAAAATAAATATGGATCTAAACAATCTATCAAATATTATAGATTTTATGTAGTTAATTTATGTTTTATAATTATTTACTTTAAATGTATCAAAATATGACTGTAGAAATTATACTCATATTCAACATTCGTAATAAGAAAGAAACAATAGCAAAAGCATACCGACAATGAATCTCTCTCTCTCTCTCTCTCTCTCTCTCTCTATATATATATATAGAATCTTGAACAGACACTTCTTTTGATGTGCTAATATTTATATTTCTTTAATGATTATATCAATACTATTTATCAAATGATTACGCACTATTATAAGTACATCTTGGAACAAATATCATCAAAACACCCAATCAGTTGTAAACACGTACTTAAGCCTGTGATTTTTTAAATACAAATTTTGTGCCAATTGCAACAACTTATCAAGCGCCTAATCGACCCCAGCATCAACAAGAGCAGCGATAAATGTGCAATATCATTTAAAATATTGTGTAAAGGTTACATTCCTTTTCATGATCATTTTTTCATGGAGTTATACTATTCTACTAAATGTATGTGCATGGATGTTCAATCTTTGTCGCTTGTTATATAAAAGGGTATTAAAAGTGGATCAAATCAATAATTTTAATAAATAAAAAGTTCGTAGAATAACTAGCAGGTCAGGATAATAAAGATCGGAACTGATTTACTAAAATCATTCTTTTAGTCGTTTTATTAGAAAATTATTCTACTAGTATTTTTGAAAAAATCATATGATATGGATGTACTTACCCAGTCCCAAGGTTTCAGTGAGGGTTAGGACGAGAGCGAACACAAAGATATCCATGTTACTATACTTCTCTTATAGAAATCTGCTTACATTGTCCAAATGGGGTATCTCACTAAATAAAACAATAAACGTTAAAATGAGGTGACAGAAAAGCTGCAATAAACCTCTGATCAGGAATCTAGTAGAATAATTATAAGTTGAATAGGTAGCCCACCTGAAACATAATTCAATTTTAGGAGATAAAAGACAACGTTGCAGCAGCAGAAGAAAGATATTCTCTTTCATGTGTGGGCGATCGCAGAAATCGAACTGATTCCAAAGACACCACAAACCATGGTACTCTGTCAGAAAAACTCAATAACGAACCACTCGAAATTATAAAATCTTTGCAATTTTCAAAGTACAAAAATTTCCCAAATTTCTTTTAATCAAGAGCCATTTTCTGGTATTATATAATTCTTAGACACTTCTTGAACTCATTCGGCATAGTCGTGCCAAAATCTGTCATTCTTAGCAGAGATATGAGGGGTCTTCTGAATATTTCTTGAACTTATTCACCTTGCAAATGTAACGTTAATTTCTGTTTAATTGAACAAATTGGTTTTAAATGTATTTACTTCCATATGTAAAATATTGGCATACCTATTAAAGAATTACACACATTACTTATCGAGAAAATGGTTGACCAATGAATCTGATTAATACTAGCCTTGGAACTTCCATTTAATAATTTAAAAGTGGAAAATGTTCAGCTCACTTAATTAAAAAAATAACAATAATCAGTCATCAAAACCTAAACTCTTGGAAAACAAAGCAAGAGACCAACAGAAACAAATCAGGGAAGAGTAGCAATAGAAAACACCCAATCGTCCTGGAATTGGATCTCAACCAATACAAATAAATCAAATAAAAACAAATAAACAAAATTCAAGTAAAAACCAAGCAATGGCAAAAATAGAAAATTCACTTCTTGTACCATTACTTAAATGTAGATTTTAATTCAAAACTGTACATTGCATACATGTAAAACCTTACCACCTGTATTTGATTGATTCATTTTATAAACTTTCATTACTTCGATTTTTTCACTTAAAATTGTTTTGTTTTTGTTTTTGTTTTTTTTTTTTTTTTTTTTTTTGTCTTTTTTATCATACATTAAACAACCTCTCGTTAGTTAAATTCAGCCTTGATACACTTAATCAAATTTGAAGATTTCAGTTTTCTTTATTTATGTTTGACTTTATTATCCCCATAAAGAATTGACAAACCATCAAACGTTAATACTTTCAGTTAATACATATGAATACTGAGTAAACACAATCTATCTTGTTATGAGGAGTCCCAAAAATGATATCGTATACCTATTAATTTTTATCCCCGAAGTTATTCCCAGCAGATATGAAAAAATAGTACTCACTTCGTCTGGATGCATATATCCAAATGTCCGAAGGAATTTCAATTACAAATAACGAGGAAGAACGGTCACTCGCTCGATTTACAAATTTAGATTTAAGCCCAACATCCGCCTTCTAATTTTCATATCTTACTCTCTAATTGTTCTCAACTTACAAAAGATATTTTGAAAACTTGACAGAGTGCACCGTTAATAAGCGTGTGGTTACACAGAACATTAGAGCCTGCTGATATCGACAAAGCTGAGGGGTATGTATTCCCTACTATGATTGACATTTTTTGCAGGAGGCAGGAGGTATGGAAAAGGCCTGACGATACGCATCGCTAGTCTTATCAGGAGCTGTTCACGGCGGTGAAAAGGAAGCTGAGCAGGGGCACTCTCTGATACTTTAGTTGCCGAGCAATCAAATATCAATTCGTCAGCCTGTCTCATCATATAACTTATTACTTCTCATCACAGATAGGGGCGAACGAACGTGAAAGGCTTCCCTGTATTATTGATACAGTAGATACTGGTTAATATACAAGATGTCAAGTGGACAAGGACAAATTAAAAAAAGGTCAACTATCATACAATATCCTTCAAACAGAACAGAGAATTAAAAACTTGAGTATGCAATAAGCTGTTGGAGATTTCATGGGAACAGCTTCAATACCTTCTCCAAATAGATCCAAGTCGAACACAGATTCTGGGAAATTCTTAAACAAGCTACAAAACAAATCTTACAACAATTGATTTTCAAAAGTGTTTACAATTTGTATCCTTATTTTCATTTGATTAATTGATGGATGAAAGACGGGAAGATGCGCACAATTTCCCTCCATTTTCCCCATCTATATCTGATTTTCTGATAATATGTGATTTATTAGCATTTATATGACATTTGATTCAGTGAGGGAAACGTGAAACTGCATCACAGTCTCATTTTCTATTTGTTGTGATCTTTGTTTCAGTGAAATTTATATAAATACATGTATATTTTACGGGAATAACTAGAGATTATGTGTGTTTGGTTACATTTTTTTATCCTCTCAGAAAAAGGGGATTTTGTTTCTCCGGTCATCATGCTAGATAGTGACTTGACGATATTTCATCTCAGAAAAAATATTTCAACTGTACATTTCAAATTCAGAAGTAGAGAGAAAGAATAAATTAATTTTTAAAGAGCAATTTTGGAGGACAAGGTCATGATGACGCTTTTCTCATGAAGAAATTGCAAAGCCTTGTCAAGGAAAGAAAGAACTGTCATCATTTTCAAAACTTAAGGATATCCGATCCTCAGCCAGGAAGGATAACTCTTTAATTTATTATTTAATTCAAAAAGTCTCTAAATGAAGCTTAAATATGAAATCTTTTCATGCAACAATTTTCATTTTATGCATCTCAGTGTGATTCAAGGTTCTTTGAAGTTTTGGAAACAGTCTTTTAAAACGTTGATATTTTTACCCATGTTAAAAATACCGATTTAAAGAAATCGACTTTTCCTTTAATTTAGCCTTATATACCAATGCTAATTAGCATGATATGAAATGAGAAATGATTTATGGTGTTTTGCAATGATAGGAAGCACATTATAAACTATGCATTTTAAAATAATTGAAGTACAACGAAGAAACTAAAGTACTGTATAAGTTCAAAAATCATGCAATTTTCTTCAAATGCCTGGATACCTATAATTTTTTTTTTATCCTAATATGTTTTTGTTGATCAATTTCCAATTACAAAATGCATAGTAGGTGTCTTTATTCGCATTTCCTGAAATTTTATTTGAGATTTACCAATTTTTCCTATATAATATGATTAACTTTAATGATGAATTTACAAATACTGACTTTAAACCAGGCTGTTGAAATCCCTGTAACATTAACTTATCTTTCAGAAGCCTCCGTCGTTTTAAAATTTAAAAATTGATCGTACTCGAAGCATGCTCTTGAGTATCAAATTAGTGGGAGATATAAACACTATATGCAGGTGTTAGTATATTACTAGTACATAAATAAGGAAAGTTGACGATGGAAAAGCTGAAATCAGCTCGTTTGTCATATAATTTAGTTGTTAGTTGGCCCTTATCGTCCGTAGTCAGTAAGACATCCAAATATGAAACAGATGTTGCAGATTCTGTGTTGTCTTTTATTTTCATATTCACTGGGATAGATCGAGTCGACATATGAATGAAAGTAACTATTTTTAATTGATAATTCGATATACCGAATTGTCAAGTTTGAAGGCTGCAGTAAGGATTTTCTTCTTTTCAAATTGAAGTTTTTGAATAAATTCTGTTTCAAATGAATACAAAAAAGTGGGCTAAAAAGGAGCACAATTAATGCCTATCGTAATTCTAATAGTTTGTTGGAAGACCTGGTCTCCGCAGACTACATAAATGTTGTCAATGAGGACCTCCAGCATCCTTTTAATATCAATTGCCGAGTACTTGTGTGCAGAATCAATGATTTTTAACAAAGTATTTTTTTTTGATGACCAATCACAAGATATGAAAATTTCCTACTTCCATTTTTGTGTAGCCTGCAGAGCAGAGCGGCACTATCACTTTACCCAGCGTCTGACTGTCCGTTTGTCTAGCTGCCCGTCTGTCCACACTCTATATCTCTAGAACTGTAAGAGGTATGGATTTGAAATTTTGCACATGTATTGTTTGGTGCTATGGCTTTTGTAAATTACCATGGTTACCGACCTCATGACCTTTGACCTACTTTTCAAAATAGCTCATAGTGCCGATACACAGCATATTTTTGACATTTAAGAGGTAAGTCTATGCTATTTAGCATGTGCACTGTTTGTCATAAGACAATATGAAAAATACCAGCATTACAATCCACTTGACCTTGACCTTTGACCTACTTTGCAAAAATATCTAAGGCAGTTTAATTAAACTTATAACTTTGGAATTTTGAGAGGCAAGATTTAGATAATTAGCATTTATACATATTTATGAGCTCACGATAGTGTACTTTAAAACCGTATGATATTCAGTTACCAGACAAACTTATATTTTAAATACTATGAAAATACATCGGGATCGGTATTCCACAATAGATCGTGTAGACTGAGAAATTCAGTAAAGACACACTGAAATCTTTTTTGAATGATTATTGGAAACACGTTTAGCTCATGAAAAAGTACTTTGAAACTGTATGATATTCAGTTACCACACAAACTTATATATAAATACCATAAAAATACATCGGGATCGGTATTCAACAATGGATCGTGCAGACTGACAATTGTAGTAAAGACAGACTGAAATCTGTTTTAGAGGATTGTTGGAAACACGTATTAATAAAATGACAAATAGTTATTTATAATTATTTCAAATTTATTATTAATTTGAGGGTTATGGAACCGTATTTTCTTTAATTGTCAGATTCTATCGCAGTCATACTATCCATGGATGCTATTTTTATCTTTGCAGTCAAATGCATGAACTATCAGTCTATCATGTAAAAAAAACAACTGACCACTCTTACATTTATTTACACCTTTAATGAAGATACAAAGCAGGCGACACATGCGTTCCTTGGAACACTCTAGTTATTGGAGAAGCAGTTGTCTATGATATCAAAAGACCAAGTTTTTGATTTATCCCAAGGAATGGTTGTATAAAGCGTAGAAAGTTCTTTGGAGTTTGTGAGAATCCACATCTGATTCATACCACTTCTAGAATCAATATGCTGAAGCACAGTACGTCTGAAGTTTTCCCTTTACAGCAGTAATAATTTTGTAAGGAGTAAAGATAGGGGCATTTTGCATTTGCTGGATCCGGTAATGTGTCTTTGTTTGTTAGGACTTTTATGAAGTTTAGGAATCTAGTATAGGTAGGGTAGATTGAATTCACCTTGGTTGACTGTCATATTGAAAGTATTAAGCACTGAAATGTGATTACGCAGAGTGTATGCGGCGCGAATCTAAGAAGTCTGATTTTAATTAGATTGCTTTAGAAAGTGAACAGCGAGTATAAGTTTTATTTCCAGACGTAGAATTAAAACCAAGGTCTGCTAAAATACACTTTAATAATGAGCCTTGCAAATAAAAATAATATTGTTACAAGCCTTGTCGGCTGGAACCATAACATGTTATTTATGTAGTCTTTCTAGTTCCTTTAACACATCTGATTTAGGGAAAACGGAAGGATAGACGGTTCGCATATTGCCTTTTAAATTCCTTATACAATTCTTTATTAGATTTTTAAAACACTTAATCCATTCTGACAAAGTGTTCAGATCTTCCTTTTCATATTTAGCCCAACGGCTGGCATAATCTTCAACAGAATTCATAATAGAAATGAAGTTCTGTCACCAATTAAAAGATAGATGCTCCCTGTATTTAGCCCCTTTTAAGATGATTGCTTTTAGACCTTTATTTTCATCTCCAATAATGAGGTGTCCAGCGGGACTGTAGTTGAAAGAAGAAAAAGAGCAAGAACAATTAAGAGGATTCTGTTTTAGATGTTCAATATCTAGGTACTGTAAAGTTTGTTTAGTATTTAAAAGTTTGGAAATGAAGGGTGTAGACTTATGGTTATGTACGAAATATGGTTGAATGCAAGACCGAACTTCTTTTTACGACCAAGAATGTTACTAATGTTCACAGCATCTATTTTTTTTTTTTGTTCGCTTTGCAAATTTCAGTGTATAATAAGGAACCTATACGGGTTGAGTCAGAATTATCACCCGACATATTTGCTCAAAGAAAAATTAACAAACAAATAGCAATAAATAAATAAATTTATAATAATAATAATAATAAAAACTGACTATGAAAAAAGCAGAAGAAATAGGAAGGAAATTTACCATATTGTTAAACAAATTATGATGATAAATAAACATTTGGTTGCAGATTTCTCATGATATTTTTTTTTGGTGTGTGTGTGTACATGTACATATAATTTCACGTGCTTTTTTGTAAAACAATATATAGTGAAAATATAGTGAAAAAGACCAATGGAAAGTTTGTGTATTTAAACCAATTCATTTATATGTTTCATCGATTGTAGAAGTTTGATTTGCCATAAGGAAACTCAATTAGACTGCTTCTAATTTGTTTTGAAATATTCACCAATAACTGGTGGCAAAAATAAATCGATGTTAGCTAAATGCGGTTTTAATCTCGATGTATCGGTACAATATGTCAACATTTTTCATTGCAATGAATATTTATATGTTTCTTCGTTCCA